CTACACACCTATAAAACTTTTGCTTTGTTTTCTATTGTTAATTTATATACATTTTTGTTTTAAGAAATTGCTAAACATTTTCGTCTAGTACTGTACAGTTCTAGCCGATCTCCTAAGACCGCCCATCGAGAGCTCTGCTCGTTCAAGCTTGTTCCAACTATTTCTGTCTTGCTCACGCCTAGTGTGTATTCTTTCTATCTTCGCGCAGATTTCTTCAAGGTCACAATTCTAACAAATTGAAATAGACTGTACCTACAATTTGCAGGTCAAAAGACTGTACTTTTACTTTGAGATTGAATTTGATTTTAATACCCATCGTAAGGCTATCTACGATGGTTATGAACATTGTTACTTCATCAATTTCCCCAAATTGCTTTTAACTACAGTAGAAATCCCATTAAATTTTTTTTGAAAAAAAAAACCTCACAAATAAACATATTTTTGATAACTTTTTGGTGATCGTTTATGAAAAATAAATTATAGTTATCCCGGGGTAATGCTCTGCAGAACAGTGAAAACTCATCGAAATCCAACAAGTTTATTTTATTGTTTGATAACGATAGCACACAGAAAGACAGACACCCTCCTTCCGAGAACTTTATAATGCGTAATAGTCAAAAGACCATTGGATACCTTTCCTTGTTTTTGGTCATTCTTATTATATGCTTAGTGTTTTCAATGATCTGTCAGTTATTTTTTAACACGTTTTAAAAGTATAATCATTTGGTAAATATAAATGCAATATTTTAATTTTCAATGTATTTTTGATACGGAAGTGAATGGTGGCGAGGCCAGAAAAAAAAATACAGTAGGAGTGAAGATGATAAATACCTACACTGTGTGCTATATGCATATTCCCGCAGGAAAGGATAATAATGTAGATAAAGCCATTGTTATCAGAAATTGACCATTTATGAAAGAATTTGGATACAAGTCGAAAATTTGGAGTAAGTACATTCAAAAATTTGATGATTACCAATAATATATTTAAGAAAAAAAGCACCATGAACCTATTAAAGTATATACAATATTTTTTTTTTGATATATCGTTGTGAACTTTAGTTTAATATGGCTACCATACGCCATATTGAATTTTTCATGACGTCACCCTTACTTAAATCAGTTCAGGAAGTAAGATTCTGATACTTGATGCAAGGAGGTCAACTATTCTTTAATTGATTTTCTGTCTCATATAAAACGCTATTTAAATATTGTACTGACATTGATACTTCATTTTCTTCTTTACTTCACGTCTATTTCAATTACTAATGGCTGTTCTTCCTCTTGAATGAAAATTTCACAAATTATAACGAAAAAGAAAACACTTTTCAGTGTTACGAACAAATCGTTTTATTGTGGCTTATTCATTTAATACTATTATTCTTTTTTTAGCCTAGAAGTAGAAAAACTAAAATTGTTATAATTCTCTATTCTGCCCAACCATAGACCACCTGATATTTTTGAAGGCAACAGTTTGAATTATTTCGAAAAAACATATTAATCAATGTGTCAAATATATACATCAAATGTATAATAACACCTGTTTGAATACGTCAAAATACAGTCAGTATTTTCTATTTTCTGTAATATTACTTAATAGACATTTTACAAATATAACGTAATTTGTTTATGTAATTTCTTTACGCAGTCTGTAAAAATACAATGCAGTTAGTTTACCAAAGTTGTAAACAATTTCAAAATTATCGTATGTGTATTGTATAAGCTTCTGTGACTACAGTCTATTATGTATAATATGTATTAATAAGTTATCTCTGCTATTATATGCAAATAGCCGTAATATAATTAAGATATTGCGTTTATTTGTTTACGCCATTCACATAGTTTATATGATCTCATTCGAAAAGTAAATGCTACATTGGATTCACTTATAAAATATAAAAATATAAAATGTAAGTATAAGTGGTCAAGTAAAGATAAGGAAAATTGTATTTTGAGTATTTTCCATGCCACAAGCAGTCGATGCCCCGATTTCATTTAGAAAATAAGCAAATTGTGAAAGGTTTATACATTATAAGAAAATTCAAACTGGATTTCTATAATAATGTAATGGTCGCATACACAAATGCGTGGTTTTCTTCTCATATCTTCTGTTCTGTCAAACAACAAAATCATCATCATCATGATAAGGTCGTCAGTCCTGAGACTGGTTGGACACGTACCTCCACTCTTTCCTATCCTGAGCTAAACTTCGCATTTCCCTAAAACTAGAACAGCCCACATCCTTAACTATTTGCGAACAGTAATCTAATCTAGGTCTACCTCTACCCCTCCTAACTCCTGTTTCTGCCTCTAATATGTCTCTGACTAGACCTTCATGCCTGAGAAGGTGTCCTACCAACCTATCTCGCCTATTTTTTATTGACTTCCATAGAGTCCTCTGTTCTCCTATTCTTTCCAATACCTCTTCATTTCTAACCTTTTCTACCCACGATATCCTCATCATCCGCCTATAACACCACATTTCGAACGCTTCTAACCTTTTCTTTTCCGCCGCTCCCACTGTCCATGTTTCGCACCCGTACAACGCCGTGCTCCAAACATACACCTTTAACAACCTTTTTCGAATTTCTAAATTAACCGTTCGCGAGCATAGAAGTGACTTCTTTTTATTAAAGGCGACACGACCCTGCGCTATCCTCTGCTTTATATCCCTACTACTCCTTCCGTCCTGACTTACCTGACTTCCTAGATATTTAAAATCAGCCACTTCTTCTAATTTTTCGTCTGCCATCTTTATATTCGCTCTTTCCCTACTTTTTCTACCCTTGCATACCTGTATTTCTGTTTTTCTTTTATTTATTTTTATACAATACTATATCGTAAAAGAAAAAAATAATCATGCTAGCACAGTAAAATTTCCTATACTTTCTAGTAAAACTTATAAGGTTCTCTTACAAAAATTGCTGGGTTAATATTGAATTTTGTCAATATATGTTGTATCTTGCGCTCATTTCTATGAACCCAGCAGACTGGAAACAGAAAAGAAAATGATGTTTTACAGATTGTGTTTGATGTTTAGTTCTCGATAGTAAAGTGGCCATTATGAAAGGTATAAAGCAAACGCTCCCGTTTGGTCTAGCTCATCTTCGAAACGCGTACGTAAACTAAAAATAGCGATTTTGTTTTGTGAACAGAAGCACCTACTTCTTGAACATGTCGGGCTATTTATCAGCCTTCTCAAGCAGCTTGGCAAGTAAGTGGAGTGTTCGAGGTTTTTTTCTAAATTGCTAAACCACTAACTATACACATATTCTGCGTAATAACATAATGGATTCCCTTCTCAACAGTCTGGATGCCTCTGCTGTATGTATAAAGTATAAAAAGATGTTGTGCTTTTGTAATATTCATTCAATTACCCTTTAAGTCCATCTGTTAACTATAACAAGGACATCGTCTCCGATTTTATGGATATATACGAATGTAACTTAAATGAAATGTGAGTGTGTTTGTATGTTACCATTTCAGACTTTAACCACTCAACCGATCTTCAAGAAATTTTGTAGACACACTGTCAGGGGCACAGAAAAGGACATGGGGTACCTTTTTTACAAAAAATAAAATACAGTTCCCTAGGGATAGAAAATGAACAGTATTTAACCGCGTCTAAAGGCTTGTGGTTTATAAAGTTTCTAAGTCTGCCCTGACCGTATCCAATACGAGTTCATTAATGTAAAAAAAAATATTTTTGTATGATATATCACTCGGCTTTTAGAGAAATTTAGTGATAAAAATAGATTCACGTTATTTGAAATAGTGCAGGCGAGCATCTTTTACAACAGTGCCAAATTTTAGGTCAATACGATTTATCTAATAGGTATGTAGCGTGACATCCACACACATACAGATAAAAACGCAGACATTTTACCGAAAGGGAAAATTAAAAAGATTTTCTGAAGTCTACACAATTAGCTAAATGTCGTGTATGTAGGTACCTGAGTATTATAGTCTTCTTACACATGGCCCCTCCAAGCAGGTGAAACTTTCAAGAAATTTAGAAAGTTGAAGTAGCAATTATTTGCTTAATTAAATAAGTAAAATTCCTTTTCACAAAGAATGACAAAAAAATTTGTTCATCATAATACCTGTTGATGGCGCGATAAACATTCATTAAAGAGAGTACAACTGTAGGGATAGATACACATGGGCAAAAGATTAGTATGCTTATATACATTTGCAGATGATATAATAGTATTAACATTTAACAAGATAGCTTTAAATAAAATGGAAGCGGTATTAACAAAACAGTACTGTATGAAAATAAAAAAGAAAAATTAGAAGAAGTGGCTGATTTTCGTTATCTAGGAAGTCAGATAACTCAAGATGGAAGGAGCAGTAGAGATATAAAACAGAGAATAGCGCAGGGTCGAGTTACCTTCAATAAAAACAAATTAGTTCTTTGCTCTATCTGGAGCACGACGCTGTACGGGTGCTAAACATGGATGATGAGCGCGTCGGAAAAGAAAAGGTTAGGAGCTTTCGAAATGTGGTGTTATAGGCGGATGATGAGGATATAGAAGGTTAGAAATGGGGAGTTATTATCAGGCACGCAAGGTAGTCAGAGACAAATTAGAAACAGAAACAGGAGTTAAGAGGAGTAGAGGTAAACCTAATTAAGGTTGCGGGATGTTCTAGTTTTTCTAGAAGATAATCTCAGGATAGGAAATAGTGGAGGTACGTGTGCAACCAGTCTTAGGACTGACAAGCTTNTATTTACCTAATTAAGTAATGTCATTAGTTTTTGAAGAAAAAACAATTTTATTTGTTATTGTATGCCGAAAGGTGGTTATTAACAACAGGGAAATCGCAACGACAAAAAAAAACATCTCTTTAAATTTAGAAATTTCTTGGTAAAATAAGTAAGAAAAACTTTCTTTTACATTCATTAATCGTCTTAATATTGTTTAATAATATAATTGTGGAAGCTAATTTATTAATAAAATACAAATTTGTGTGTGAAAAAAAATATTTTTTTTGCATACCAGGGCTGATTATGAACAGTAGAAAAATCGCACCCACAATACTCCACATGGTTGATCTTAATCCTGGACACTGTCGACAACTTTGTCAAAATTTCCGCGCGCAATTTCCGCAACTTATCAACTCCGCAAAATTTCGAAAACCTTATTCGCACACCTCACCGAAAATAGCGAGCGTCAGCCAACATTCGCGCGCTTGAACCGAACTATCAAAATTATTGGCGACACTCGCGAAGCAGCGTGCGCGCACTCCAAATGCGCATGCGTCGTAAGCGTGGGTGTATCTGTCAGACTTAATTATGGTTCTTTGTTTTGTTTATTTTCATCGGCACTCTGGTTAATGTTACGTTGCCGTATGCGTAAACACGACACGTGGAACAGTTAATTGGTTCCGAACAAGGTGATCTCTGTTCAGGAAGTTTGTGTTCCATTTTATTTTTTCTCCTGTCTCTTGAATAACAGACGTATCTCATTGCCATGGGGTTATGGTAGGTTAGGATGATACTTAATGGAAGAGATGAACGTACCGGGTGTTCAAATTTGCAAAGTTTAATGATTAAATATTATCATCACCATAAGATCGTCAGTCAGACACGCATATTTTTTCTATACTGAGCTAATCTTCGTATTTCCCTAAAACTAGAACATCCCAAATCCTTAACCATTTTTGAACAGTAATAGGTAAATGTCTAGATGATGCCCCCCCTCCCGAAGAGTGTGGGGGTGGATGGGATCGAAAGAGGAGTTCTCTCCCACCACTGTACCGTAAAAAGTTCGTGGCGGTCTCAACCCATAAAAGTTATGGGGGTTAGATGTGGGTGGGGGTAGGGGGGATCGAAAGGGGGTGGTCACCTGAGTAAAACCCCATAAAAAATTTGCGGCGGTTTCACTCCCATAAAAAGTTATGGGGGTTGAAAGTTGATNCCATTTTATTTTTTCTCCTGTCTCTTGAATAACAGACGTATCTCATTGCCATGGGGTTATGGTAGGTTAGGATGATACTTAATGGAAGAGATGAACGTACCGGGTGTTCAAATTTGCAAAGTTTAATGATTAAATATTATCATCACCATAAGATCGTCAGTCAGACACGCATATTTTTTCTATACTGAGCTAATCTTCGTATTTCCCTAAAACTAGAACATCCCAAATCCTTAACCATTTACAGTAATAGGTAAATGTCTAGATGATGCCCCCCCTCCCGAAGAGTGTGGGGGTGGATGGGATCGAAAGAGCAGTTCTCTCCCACCACTGTACCGTAAAAAGTTCGTGGCGGTCTCAACCCATAAAAAGTTATGGGGGTTAGATGTGGGTGGGGGTAGGGGGGATCGAAAGGGGGTGGTCACCTGAGTAAAACCCCATAAAAAATTTGCGACTGTCTCAGCCCCATAAAAAGTTATGGGGGTTGAAAGTTGATTATTTTGACAATTTTCATACACTATAATTCAAATAAAATTCAATAAAAAAAATATTTTCAAGCGGGTGGAGGTGGG